CAATATCGGCCCGACAAACGGTGTTTCTCCTAAGTCACCGGAGGACGGAAGGCACTTTTAATTAGAAATTAATTAATGAGCATCTGCTCCTTCCCACCCCACTGTAATCATTAGTCTCAATTACAAATGAGACCTATGAAGGGACACACGAGTGAGTCTTCAGTGAAGATGTAATCAACAGTTAAAATTAGCCGGGCTCAGGCGGCAGCTGCCCGCCCTTCCTCGCGCGCGCTCGCCCTGGGAGGAAGGAGAGCTCTGAGGCCCCGCGCGTAGGCGCCCGTGCTTCTCGCCACTGTTTAACCGGTCTCCGGAAAGCCTCGTCCAGCTCCAACACAGCCACGAAAGGGAGTCCAGAATCAACCGCTGCTGCCTGAGGTCAACGTGCCCTCATCTGTGTGGTCCCCGGGTCTTTCCCCGGAGTCGGACCTGGGCAGGTGGCCCACGTCCAGCTGAGTCTCCCAGGGCCGCGTCCCCCAGCTGTGCCACCCCTGGAGCCCGGCATCCCCGGAAAAGGCCCCTCCTCTTCTCCACTTGAGGTCATTCCAGTTCTCGCTCAGCCCACGGCCGCAGCCTCCCCTCCCTCCCCTCCTTCCCCCTCCTCTTCCGCGGGCCACCCTCCATGGGCTTCTCCCTGCCCCTCGCGGCTCAGCCAGGGACTGTCAGAAGCCCCTGCGCACTCTGAAGAACAGATTTCCTTGTTCAGGCCCGGGACCCCTCCTGTAGGCTCGCTTCTCTAGGCAAGCGGCAGGGCTGGGTGCAGGGAGGCGACTTGGGGCGCCCCCCACCTCTGGCGCCAGGGTCTGTTTGGCACAGCTTTCTGCCTGAGGAGCATCGGGGCAAGAGAGGGGGCCGGGTGCTCACTGTAGGACTTCTCAGGGGCAGTCCCCGGCCTCAGAACCTTGCCCTGAGTTCAAAAAGAAGGCCAACGCTCCCTCAGTCGGGGAGGGGCGCCGTGCCACCCGGAACTCGTTCCCAGCCCTTGGCTCTGTGGTCCTCTGGGGCACTCTCGCCCCCTGCAGCTCTGCCCCACCGGGCAGGCCTCCCATGGTCGACGGGAGCGGAGCCTTGCACCGTGGCGCTGTGCAGACTTGCTTCGAGAGATTCCTGGGTTCAGACCTGTGAATCGCCCCAGGGTCACCCTCTAATTAATGGTGACGTTCTCGCCCTCTCCCCAGCTGCAAGGCTGCTCCCAGAAACGAAATCTGCCGGCTCTGACAGCTCTGTTGAAGGTGATTGATGACTATCTGGAGACCGCAGTACACATCATATAATATCTGCTGCGTAATTGCTTTAATTTACAGATGAAAATACGAGTTCTCCGATGGCGTTGGACCGCGGCCGGCCACGTCCGAGCTGCTTGCAAAGGAGAACCATCGGAAATAATGAATAGCCGCTCCATGCAAATTATCCAGACAGTTTAGCGTCCGTTGCCGGGAGAGATATATAAAGAACACGAGTCAAATGACATTAATAATTGTTTTTGAATTCTGTATTGATTTCGTGGCAGGTCTGTTTATTTCTCTCTCACCTGAATTGCTAATACCACCTTCCTGTAAATAATAAGAAACTAGCCACCGGGCTTCTCGGTGGAAACGAATCTCTGTCTCTCTCGCTCTTCCGCCTCCTGCTCCTCCCCTCCCCCACCTCCCTCCTCCCAACTCCTTCCAGTTTTCCGGCTTTGCTGAGGCTTTTGCAGAACATTCTCTTACTTTTCATTATTTATTGTTTACAAACAACTCACTCTCCCCGAATAATGAGGTCGGATCAGGGAGGGGAGAGAGCGCAGGGCGGCTGAGGGTTCGGGGCTTTCGGAGCAGGAGTCACGAGGGCAGGTCTGGCCCCCTGGACACGCACCCTACTTCTCCAGGCAGGCCTAGGCGGCTGTAAGCGCTCGGCTGGGCCAGCTTCAGCAGTCTGCGCTGCTCTGCTCTGGAATTCCAGTTCGCAGCCAGCAGCCTACCCGGGCTGACAGACAGACAGCCACATTTCCTTTCCGGGTACCTGGCCGGCCACAGCTCAGCTCTTGGGGAACGATGCCCCCTGAATACGCGGCCATTCATCTTCTAAGCAGATGTGCTCACCCTCGGAGCGTGGGCGGGGGCAGCGTTGCGCGTCCTTGGGGGCCTCTGGGGGAGGGGTTTCGTGGCTTTCTTCGACCCTCGCTGATTGTTTTCCAGCCTGTGTATGTAAACAGACGCTTCCAGTCCCCACTCCGCCCAGCTCTCACTAGAGGAGACCCTTTACCCCTCAAGAATCCTGGCTCCCCGGACGGACTCCACATCCTGGGCTGCTGTACACCCACACTCCACTTCCTGCAGGCCCTGGCCTGGGCAGCCTTTAGGGACCTGGTCCAGCCACACCCAGGGGCTTGCAATTGCCCCAAGAATCTCCACACCTTGCTGGGCTTCACCAGGCACCGCTATCAGTCTCTGGCCAGCGAACCCGACATACTGCTGACAGCTTGCACCCTGGCTGAGGCTCCCCTACTCTAGGCCATCCTTGTTCCATGAATATATGAGAAATGATCTAATTGCCATTCCTAAAAGGTCAAGCTTTGGGCCGAGGTACTGGTTCCTGGTTCAAGAGCAGACAGGAGTCTCAGGAGCTCAGGGTGTCATCAGATAAATGAGCTTGCATTGAACAGTGAGCTGAGTCCAGAACTTTGAGAGTCCCACAGATACAAATACACCCTTGAACAGGAGATGAGGGGTGGAAAGGAGTTGGGGATGAGGGTCCAAGCTGGCCCCAGGGGACAGAGGGGGTTATGCTGAACACTAGGAGCTTATGGAGCACCTGTTTTGCTCCCGGTTGATGTTGGCTTTTGGAACCAGGGAAGGCCTCTGGGGAGACGGGCAGGCCCTGACCTTCCTGGGATCAGCCAAGTCCTAGTGCTCTAGCGTAACCCATGGGCTACCCCTTCTGGCACTAAGAGCCACGGGGAGCTCTTTCCAGGCCAGCCAAATTAACCCCATCGGAAAGCGAAGGCTCAGCGCAGAGCGCAGAGCGCAGAAGGGCCGAGGAACAAGGCCGAGCCTTGGAGCGTTGCACCCGACCACTGCTGGCAGGGTGCGGGGTTGAGATGTGTTCTAGGAGTCGGAGATGCAGCCAGGGCGGAGCCGAGTTTGGCAGGTCGCTTCTTCGAAGTGCACCCCCGAAACCGGCGGCACAAGCTGGTTTAATTTCCCATTCCCCGAACGCCCTCCATTCCTGCCCTCTCTCTCTGCTCTCCCGCTGCGCTCCTATGGCCAGCGGGCCAGCTCGAAGGGCGCTGCCAGAAGCAGGAAGGAGTGCAGTCCTGCGTCCAGAGGGCAGGCCGTGCCATCCGGCTCCTGACCCTTGCGTCCCGCGAGGTCCCCAGCGTCCCGTACCCCGCACTCCGAGCACCGCTCCGGTCCCCTCACCCCGCTTCCCGAAACTTGAAGCAAACGCAGTGGCCTCCCGAGACCCCATCAGCAAGCAGCAAACTTTGTCCCCTCCGGCGCAAGAGCCATCCTCGCAAAGTTTGTGCGGCCGAGCCCGCTCCCTACCTGCGCCGGGGAAGCGCCAGCCCGCGCCGCTGGGGCGC